TCTTTCGAGACAACCCTGGGTGGAGGAGGCCTGTGGACGACCTAGGAAGTCGTGGCTTGGGCAGATCGACCAAACCTGCTGTGAAGAACTAGAGATGGTCTGAATCCCTGCCTGGCGTCTAGCCATGAGGGATCCTCATATGTGGAAGCGAAGGGTGGATGCGGTTATGCGCCCCCCTCGGTGTCAGCCCCCTTGATGATGAAGATGATGATATATATATATATATATATATATATATATATATATAATATATATATATATATATATATATATATATTACATTTATATATATGATATACATAGATATATAAATATATATAATATATACATAAATATGTAACATATACACACACACACACACATATATATATATATATATATATATATATATATATATATATATATATATATATATATAATATATATATATATATATATATAATTAGTAGGTGAATTTTTTTTTAGAGTTTAGCTATTGCAGAAAGTGAAGTACTTTGACTTGATCTTTAAAAGAATTTAGCCAATTTTCAACAGATTTATATTTTTGCATGGTATTATTGTTATTTTTAATGTGCAGTAGTTCCAGAATTATAAAAAGCTTTGTTATGCAACAGATCAGATTGTGCAGCAAATGGTGGGAAAAATCTCTAAGGGCCTTCAGGTGTGCAAGAACAAGATTAGACAAAGAGGAAGACAAGGAGATGGACCAAAACTTGCAGCAGCAACCACTGCCAAGAAGTATTGCAGAGTTAGTTGAAAGGGGTGTCTGCATCAGACCTTTCTGGCTGTTGTCAATAAACATTGATACAGTATAAGACTATCAGTAATCTTAGCATTATTTACTTCATCATAGATTATATGATTTTTTTTTTCCAGTATGGTTGTTATAAGCTTCAACAGATACAGATGAAATTTATTTTTAATTTGTGAGAGTGGTTAGATTTTAGATGATTTTGAAAGGGACATTCATAAAATCAGGTTTGCATTTTTTTCTGTTTAGATGGGGATAATTGAAAGTAAGCTTATAAATTTATTTACAGGTACAAAAACCATCCATTGTATGCACTGCAAAGACATCTTCTAAAATTCGAAGCAATTTATCCACCTGATGAATCTCCTGTTGGCTTTATCAAAAGTGAGCCAGTGTTTCCCCGTGAGAGTGTATACACTCTTTATTCTCGAGACACTTGGATAAAAGAAGCAAAAACAGTCCGAGTGGATGAAGAGCCCTACAAAATTGTCAAGGCTAGACCCAAATGGGATAAGGTGAGTGAAAACTTTCCCATTCCCATTTTCCTCTCCCTTTCCCTTTCCCATGCTCTCTCTTTTTCATTTGCTCTCTGTTTTCCTTTTCCTTATTCTTTCTCTTCTTTCCCTTTCCCTTTCCTTTTCTCTTACCCTTTCTCTTTCTCCTTTTCTTTCCCTTTTCCTTTTCATTTCCCTCTCCCTTTCCCTTTCCCTTTCCTTACCCTCACCCTTTCCCTTTCCCTTTCCCTTTCCCTTTCCCTTTCCCTTTCCCTTTCCCCTTTCCCTTCCCCTTCCCCTTCCCCTTTTTTCCCTTCCCCTTCCCCTTCCCTTCCCCTTCCCCTTCCCCTTCCCCTTCCCTTCCCCTTCTCCTTCCCTCTCCCTCTCCCTCTCCCTCTCCCTCTCCCTCTCCTGAATCTTATAAGAGTAGCTGTTATTACAGAAGCTCTTTCTTTCTTTTGCCAGAATACGTGCCAAGTAGTGAAAGATAGACCTTTGGAATTGTTTGGTGAGTGGCAAGTAGAGGACTATGAGCCACCTTTGGCAAAAGATGGAAAAGTGCCTCGCAGTGAATATGGCAGTGTTGAGTTGTTTAAGCCAAGCATGTTGCCTAGAGGTTGTGTTCACATTCCAAGTAAGTTTTTATTTTTTTATTTTGTCTGTAAATACATCATGAAATTGTAATTTGTAAATTCAGCTAAAAGTCATTTTTGATTTTATTTTTTCAGACAGTTTCATGAATGTATATTTTTTTCAGTAAGTGGCTTGAACCGTATTGCCAGGAAGCTCAATATTGACTGTGCCCCTGCAATGATTGGATTTGATTACCATTCTGGTTGGTCTCATCCTGTTTATGACGGATTTGTTGTCTGTGAGGAGTTCAAGGATACCTTAATAGATGCATGGAATGAGGTATGGGCTATCATGTTCTTTCATTATTGATTGCAGTAAGATTTTGTATAAGTTAAGGGAAAGTTCTGGAACAGATTTTATTTAGTATTAGATTTGGAGTAATATTGACAAATTTCTACAAATTGTTTTGCCAATGATATTCTAAGAACAGCTTACTTTACCTTAATGAGGTTAAGAGATCCATATATTGATCAAATAAATGGTATAAAGATGTCCATTTTATAAATGTGTAAAAGTAGGAATAAGAATCTTCCAAAAGTGACACAATTTCTTTCAGGATCAAGCAGAACAAGCTAGAAAGGCCGAGGAGAAGAGGATAAAGAGAATTTATGATAACTGGAAG